ATAGTTGTCCTTTTCTTTGTGATGTCAGGACAGAAATAGGTGTCCTGTTTTTATAACTACACTCTGGCTAAACTCCTTAGTTAATTAGGTATTTCTTAAAAATTAAAAAAAGCATCACACACAGAAACATTATCTTCTAAAACGATTCCTTTTCTAGGCAGTAAGATGAACATTATAATATACAAAAATAACACACTCCACATATCTGAGAATCTGATGCCTTTTTTTCATAATGTCCTTTTTCTTTCAGGGTAAATGCAATAAAATCAGGAGTTGTGACTTTGCCTACACTAAGAATATCCTGTGTGTTTTTGTCTCTGCACCTGAGATCTATAGGTGAAACAAAAGACCTTTTAGTTTGTTACAAAAATCTAAAAGTTATTTTTCAGAATTTAAAGAAAGAGTGCAGGATGAATGTAAATTGGGAAATTCAAAAGCACACTAAGGTGACTAACAAATTGGTGGCGGGACTTAAATGAGCTCTGATACAAAGATGGGGAAACATACACTGCCACAGTCCTAATAACTAAGTTAAAGACTCTCATACGCTACTGGAAGGGGTGGAGAGGGGCACTGTAAGTTTTGCAGAAGACCACAAGGTCAGTTTGAACTGCAGGGTCAGAGGTTCAAACTCACCAAATGCTCCTCGGAAATCCCACAGAGTCAATGAGAGTCTGAACCAACTTGATGGCACTTTGCAACGACAACAACAACAACATTCAGACACTTAATTTAAATATGCATGTACACCTCTTCCTAGGCAATATTTTCAATCATTTTTCACCTCATTTTACATTTGCTCTGTCAGTAGCTGACTGAATGTTCATAAAGATATGTGTTGTTGTTGCTTGTTGATAAGCGCTGTTGAGTCGATTCCATCTCATAGCAATCCTTTATAGGGTTTCCTAGGAGCCACTGAGGGGTTTAAACCGCTGCTCTTGTGGTTAGCAGTCTAGTGCTTATCCTATAGGGCCGCATGCGAACTACAAAAATATACGTTGTTGTTACGTGCGGTGGAATCGGTTCCGACTCATAGCGACTCTGTACAGGGTTTCTGAGGCTGTAAATCTTTACGGGAGAAGAAAGCCTCATCTTTCTCCCGCGGAACAGCTGGTAGTTTCAAACTGCTGACCGAGGTTAGCAGCCTGATTCATAGGAGGAATTTTTAAAAAGTATGTCTAAAGAAAAAAGCATTTTTCTATGTTGTTGTTGCTAAGTGCCATGAGTCGGTTCCACACTCACACAGTCACAGCCACCCAGTAAAGTATTTCTGAGAAGTAATTGGTGAGCTCGAACCACAGACTTTGAGGTTCAAACCGATGTGTGGTCCAGTGCTTTAACACACAGAACCACACCAGGGCTCCTAAAACCTAAATTTCTGTAGAAGCAAAGAATAGATGATATACAGATTACCTTATTAACAATTTGGTTCTTTCTCCAGGAAAGTATCAGGAAGAAAACAATATGCTTCATTCACTACAATTATCATATGCACTTTGGATTTCAATGATCTGTGGTAAAATCCTTTAGGGTATCTCAAAGTATCTGTATTTGTGGCTGGGACAGGCTCGCTGACACTGTCTCAGAGCTTAGCACTTAGGAGTGAGATTTCTTTCTTTATCTAAAGATGTGCCTTTCCTCCTAATTCATAATCATTGATTCTAGTTCCTTCCGTGTGTTTGAGATCCTTCAGCAGCATTGCATTCAGCTTTTTAAGAAGCAATCCTATCCTTAAGGATATCGGTAGCAGGTTTTAATCTTTGGTCGATACCAGCATTACCTGGAGTGATGGTTAAAATGCTGAATGACAGGCTTCAACTCAAGGAATATTTATGCAGTACGTCATGGGTGATACCACTGTATATAGAGACATTGACTTTGGAAAAAATACATACATACATACATACATACATATTATTCCATTTATGCTGTAGCATAAGCACTGGACTGGTAACCACAAGGTCAAAAAAAAAAGCCATGAGCTACTCTTGGAAAGCCTATACAAGTTCTGTATGACTTGGAACCAACCTGACAGCACATAACAGCGGCATTACATTTTTGCTTCAAAACTTTGTGGAAAATGGAATTGTAAGACATTAAAAATTTTCCATGAACTTTTTGAAGCCACTTTTTGAATATATATTACTATATATTTAATGTGTAGTACTACAGAGAATTGTTTGTCTTGCCATGTGAAATTCAGTTTTTTTGGAATAATAGTGTTGGTTCTTGTTATCTCCAGTTTCCTCATCTCTCTTATTGTTGTGTGCCCCTGAGTTGATTCTAACTCACTCAATACTATATGGCAGAGTTGGACTGCCCCAAACGCTTTCCTGAATTGCAGTCTTTATGAAAGCATGTTGTCAGGTTTATTCTTCTGCTGGAGCTGCTGGTACACTGAACTGCCAACCCTTGGGCCAGCAGTCAGCTGCTTAATCATTGTACCACCAGGACGGTTTATCTATTTTCTCAGAATCTCAAATAAAGTTAGATTAAGTCCCTCTCTCAGGTAATGCAACTCTAATAACCTGAGGTTTTCCATGATGCATCTCTAAGCATCCTCTCCAACTCAAACATTCTCTCACATTTATACACACACACACACACACACACACACACACACACACACACACACAAGGAGCTCTGGTAGCGTAGTGGTTACAAATCGGTCTGTGAACTGCAAGGTCAGTAGTTCGAAACTACCAGCAGTTCCGCGGGAGAAAGATGAGGCGTTCTCCTCCTGTAAAGATTTACAGCCTCGGAATCCCTGTGCAGGGTCGCTATAAGTCGGAACCGACTCCACGGCACTTAACAACAACAACAACAATATATATACACACTGATCTCCAGTTATGTTGCCTTTCTTGCTAGTTTGTTACCCCAGATGCCAGCTCTTCATAGAACTAGTCCCTAAATTCTCAGTCTAAAACAACATCCATTTCTCTTTCCATATTACTTCATTTTTTCACATATTTAAAATTATCTTTATTCTGATGTTGAAAAACATTTCTTTTTCTTTCATATCACTACTTACATCATCTAAAGCAATGCATATAACAGTTTACTGAGTGAAAACATATCTCTAATTTGATATGATAAAGTTAATTATAAGAGAATAAAGCCCAGGCATCCATCATACAGGAAATTTTGAAAAATTAGTAATTTATGAGAGTCTTTAGTTTACTTTGATAGAAGAATACATGATTCTAAATGTGTTCCTTAAGAACTGGTATTTCAAACTGCATATCACTAAATCAGCCCACATTAGTTTCTGTCCTGATATAAAATGCTATCCTTTTATGACAAATGTAGTTTGGGAAAGTTACATAATTGAGTTATTAAAGACTAAATTCTTAATCTAGAAAGTGGGCATTAAAAACAACAACAAAAAAGAATCTACCAAATTCTGAGAGTTGTGATATTTCACAGTGGTATGTATAACAATGCTTTGAGAATAGATTATCCTTACATATTGCCACCTGATAAAGAAAAAGTAGCACACTGTATTTGGTGGACCTATTTTTCAAACTAAACATGATACTAGATTGCATATCCTAAGACAAATTAGAGGGAAGGAGATAAAACAAAGGGAAAATGAATGTCATGTGAAAAAAATCCTGAATGGATGACTAAATAAGACCCTTCAGAATTAATTCATCATTATTGGTTATCTTTCCTTAAATTTAGTAATTCTGAAAAACTCCAAACATTTCCTTACTTTGTTTGTAATTAGGAGGGAAGTGAAAATGCTTTCAAGCTAAATTACCTCCCATTGTCTTCTTGGAAGATGAACTCATACCAGATTAACTATGGAAAGGTAGGTTAACTGAGGAGTCCTGGTGTGGTGCTGTAGGATAAGCACTATACTGCTAACCACAATGTCAGCAATTCAAACCTACCAGCCACTCCTAGGAAACATTATACAGGGTCACTATGGGTCCACTTAAGGGCACTTAGTAACAACAACAACAACAGAATAACTGACATGGTAGGATATGTAACAGAGATCAAAGTTCAAAGCAGGGGCACAATGAAGAGATAAGTCTATTTCTAGACTTGGTGTTTCTCTGGTAAATAATTTAAAAGTAAATCCAAATCTTGATTTAATGGCAAATCTATTCTCACCCCCCCCACCTCCTTAGTTTTTGTATTTTAATAGCTCAGAATAGGAGGGATGTGAATTCACTATAATGCTGAATAGCTTGAAACTTATGTTAAGGCATCTTCTACATAACCAAGGTGTAACATATATAATCACATTTGGAAAAGGAATCATATTCACATAAATGGTTTAAATTTTTGCTGTAATTTGGTATTTTACATTCCGTATGTTTGTAGGTTCTTTTTTGTTCTTAAACTGGCACGCTGCCATATTCAAGGTGATACTTTTGAAAAAATTATAAGAGATTTTTTCTCTGCAAAATTACATACTCATTATATTGAAAGACAGTATAAAGTGGTGAAGTCAACAGGAACTGAGAAATGTTGGATTCTGATCCCTCATGGAACACACTCACTATTTTGGAATTCAGAATTAATTTTCCAATATGCATGACCAATATTTTCTTAGTCCCTTTCCAGAGCTATATTTCAAAGTCTATAGTGGGAGTATATTTTGTTGTAAAGCTCCTAAGCTTGGCTTACTATATATGGAAAATACTTCCTAATACTTAGAACTCACCTTTTATTTGTTGTTGTTGTTAAGTGCTTTTGAGGGTTTCCAAGGAGCAGCTGGTGGATTTGAATCGCCAATGTTGTGTTTGAAGTCCATGGCTGATTCTCCAGCACCACATCAGGAGTCCAACCTTTTATTTAATGACCACTGATCTATGAACTAGACAACATACTAGGGAAAATTATAAGGTTGTGTGTTCCAGAAGAACATTATGGATAGTCTTTGTAAGGTCTAGATTTATACTACATGTTCTGACCCATCAATTCATTGGATTCCAGGACCTGTGATTATACTTCTGTATGGCAGTCTGCCTCTCCAGTTCATCATGTCAGATTCCAAAAACAACACCTTCTTCTACTTAACAGGCCTTCCAGGTCTTGAGACTGTGTACACCTGGCTTTGCTTCCCCCTGTGTGCAATGTATATGGTATCCCTGACAGGGAACAGCTTGATCCTGTGGGTGGTGAAGTCAGAGCCTTCTCTGCACCAGCCAATGTACTACTTTCTATCCATGTTGGCAGTGACTGACTTGGGCCTTTCTGCCTCCACGATGCCCACCATGCTTGCTATCTATATGTTAAGTCTCAAGGAGGTAGCAGTGGATGTGTGCCTGACACAGCTCTTCTTCATCCATACATTTTCCATCATGGAGTCCTCTGTGCTGTTGACTATGGCCTTTGACCGTTTTGTGGCCATCAGCAACCCTCTACGCTATGGCACCATTCTCACAAACACCCGAATTGCCAGCTTGGGTCTGGCCATTGTGGTGCGCAGTATAGGCCTGCACATCCCAGCCCCCATAATGCTGAAGAAGTTGCCTTACTGCCGGAATCTCCTGCTTTCCCATTCCTACTGCCTGCACCCAGACGTCATGAAGCTGGCCTGTGTGGACACTCGCATCAACAGTGTATATGGCCTCTTTGTTGTGCTCTCCACACTGGGGGTGGATTCAATGCTCATTGTTCTCTCTTATGTGCTAATACTCCAGACTGTTCTGACCATTGCCTCTAAGGCTGAGCGCCTCAAAGCCCTGAACACATGTGTCTCCCACATCTGTGCTGTACTGCTCTTCTACACACCTATGATTGGCCTGTCCATGATTCACAGATTTGGGAAGCAGGCTTCCCCATACAGCCACATGCTGCTCTCCTATCTTCATTTTCTCATACCTCCGGTACTCAATCCAGTGGTTTATACCATCAAGATGAAGCAGATCCGACAAAGGATGCTGCGCCTCTTAAGGGTGGGTGGGGGCGGCATCAGAGACACTCAGAGTCATTAAATGTTTGCTGTAGAGAGAAAAAGCAGGGGAGGTTCTAGTCATAGTAGTTGCTCTAAACATACCATGAGTCACATAGGAAGGAAAATAATGTGAAAAGACGTCATCCTCTTCCACAAGAAGTCCTCTCACTTATAATTTATATAATCTCTTCTAATTTAT